CTATATAAGAAATTCCGCATTCAGGCTCTGAAATATACCACATGGAATTGTCTAAAGCAGTGTTCTCACGAGTCGATTTTAGTAGAACGATTTTTATTGATCAACAAAAATCGAATAACAATATAGTTGTGAACAATTTTAGTTGAACCGAAAAAGTTTGATCCATTCAAAACTTATCGATCAATTTAGTGCGTCATAGGCGATTTTCAGACAAGTTGAAACGGATTTGAAGCGTGTAAACTGTAGTCAGTCGAGTTTCGCATTGAATAAAGTTGATTTAGTGGCTCGTGTGCTTGTTGTGTGTGGAAAAAAGACATAAAATGAGCATGAAGTGGTCTGAAAGTATTGTGCTACATTTTTTGGATTTATATCAACAGCATGACAGTTTATGGAGTACCCTGCTCGAGAGTTAGCGAAATTGAAATTGTTCTTCGGACATTCTCAAATGATTTTTGTAGGCATCCTTGTCTTCTAAAGCCAGCTCCTTGAACAGGATTCCTGAAACGCCCAATTTATTTCTTCGCAATATCCAAGTCCTGACCCAAAACCAACATTTTCTGGATTTTCTGTCAAATTTTGACAAAATGTCTCTGATTTCTTCATTTAGTAATTCGTAAATAGCTGCTATGCCTGCTTGGACAACTTCGTTGGCAGCCATTTTAGAAACAACTAGCTCATCAATTTTTATTATGTGTGTGAACAAATATTCGTTCCGATTTAAGTTGATCAACGTAAGACACGTGTGAACGCTGCTTAAGTCATTTTTTGGCCAAGGTAGATTGATTTTGTAATCCTGCGACCTATCACAATGATAACTTCATAAATCTACTCTATACTATTTCAAACAAAAAAATCTCAAAATCCGTTGCCGAAATTACTGTAAAATGGAGAAAAGGAACATCCATAAGCAAACATAAAGATACCAAGTATCAACAACCTAGTCATTCTTTCATTTTTCTCCGTTAGCATTCCCGTGACCAATTTTGATGTTTTAAGGAAAATTATCACATGTCTTACCTTGGAATTTTTGTCCTTCTTGGTATCCCATCCCGTAGGCAAATCTCTGGACGTGTCGGCGAACATATTGACTAGAGCTACCAACTCCTTGTTGTGTTGGTATTTTTCGAAAACGCCCGGATCTCTCCGTATCCTAACGATCATGTGCTTTAGGGTCGGGTTCCTGTTGTAGAGAGACAGGGCCTCCTGAAACAAAAACAAAGATTGTTGTAATTGGTCGGTTCAAAAAAAGTCGTATGTCCAACATGCTTTTTTTTTTACTGAAAACGCTTCATTAAAGGTAGATGCGTATTCTGGATATATCAGGTAAATAAATAAGTTCGTGCAGTTTTTAGTAGAAAAATATAAATTTTTATCGAGAAACAATAAGACATTATTTATTTGTCGAAGTAATCACCATCACATTCAATGACCTTTTGCCAACGTGGAACCAATTTTTGTATACTTGGATTTGGAGTAAAAAAAAATTGGCGGATGCATTTATTACACCATCTCGTGCTGTTTGGGTGCAAGCAAGCCTTGGGCGTGTGTGGTACCGAATCAGTAGGCGACAACCAATGATACGAACGCTTAGAATTCGAATACAAAATCCATTTTTCGTCGCAGGTTAATAACCGATTAAGAAACAAACGGTAAGACGGCTTAATTTGTTATCATTTGTCAGTTCATGTGGGACCCATTTGCTTAACTTCCACGTCTTTCCTAGCTGATGAAGATGCAAACGAATAGTTTCAGGACTCACTCTGAACATCTCTGCAAGTTCTTAGCACGTTGTCCTAGAATTTGCGTCCACAACCTGTCGAAGATCCTCGTTGTTCATGATTTTTGGTCTTCCTGAGCGCAGTTCATCGCTCAAACTGACATCTTCCAAAGAAAATTCGTTGAACAACTTCTGTGAACGGCATCATCTCCGAATGGGGTACATATCTTTCGCGCTGCCGCTGCAGCTTTTGTATCAAGTTTGTACTCATACAGTGAACAACTTCGAATTGCTGTTTTATTCGTCGCCATTTTAAATGATTAAAACTAGGTATGTAACAATTTCCAGCAACTTTTTATGTGTGTGAGAAAAGAAGGATTCATACTAAAGTGACAACAGGTAACAAACAATCGCTATCGATCAACAACATCGATGGCAATGTGCGATACACAGCAACCGCACGAACTTATTTGGTTACCTGATACATCTCGTAAGTCTCTACATTCCTTCCAATTCAAATAACACCACCTAATACACGTTCAGTGCAAAAACAATGCATGTCCGGGACTTTCTTAGTTTTTGCACGCACTTTTATTCAGCAGGTACCTGAATGGGTCATTTCAAAAACAGTCCAGTATCCCTGTATTGTTTTATTTCATATTTGAGTAAAAAAAAATATTTGTTAATTACTTGACACTGTACTTACGGTAATCACGTCATATATTTATTGATTTATACATACAGGGTGAGTTTTTAGTGTGGGGTCGGTCGATAACTTTGCTATTGAGCATGATAAGTTTAATTCTAAAATTGCAGCCAACAATATGGTCCTAATTTCGAAAATATTTTAATCTCTACAGAGCGATTCATAACTATACTATACATAATTATACTTTTTAAATGGAATGCCCTACATTTTATTACAAATTGGGATAGGCCCTTTCGAACAAAGCAATTTGATATAAAATGCTATAGGGTTTTATTTTCAAATTGTTGAGGCATCGAAAAAAACATTTAACTTTGACAACTAACACTTCCGCAACTGTTATAACCAGAGTACCGAATTTTGCAGCAGAAAGATTTTGTGATTCCATATTGTCTCCCTGTATTCTTACTTTTTCATTGTTTTTTCACATTTTATACAGGGTGGTCAAGAAAGCCAAAATCAACTTTTTCTCAAATGGAACACCCTGTATATCTTAACATTTTTTTTATTCTTCTTTGCGCAAGCTTTTTTCTGAGATATGGTTTATAAGGGCTTGTGTGACCGGTTTTTGAGTTGCCAAAAATACAGGGACACCTTGACTTTTCGACTTAATTGCATAAGGTTGGGTAAATTTCAGCCCTAATGAAAATAAACCAATTGGCATAAAATTTTTAGGGTCGTAGAATCTAGAACTTTAGCTATAACAGTTGAGTTAGTTGCGAGTTGTCAAAGTTGAGTCGCTTTTCAATAAATTGTCCAATACCTCAAAAATTTAAAAATAAAACCTTATAATATATATATATATATATATATATATATATATATATATATATATACAGGGTGTTCCATAATTATTGCGACAAAATGATAGGTGTTGTAGAGGGCATCAAAATGAACAATTTTGCCTTATAAACCCCTGTTCGGAAATATGCCGTTTGGGCTGCAACAAAAAAAAAAGATCAGTTTCTTGAAACAGCTTACCTACAGTAATTGCTCAAAGTGTCCTCCACCTTGCTCAATACACAGCTGTGCACGATTGTTCAATGATCGGCGAACTCTGTGGCATACCCCTGGTATGTCCTGAACATGTGCGGACGCGGCCATCATTCTTCCCAGTAGCTCTTGTTGGTTGGGAACAGGAGTTTCGAACACTAAAGCTTTCAGATGGCCCCAGAGAAAATAATCCAGTGGGGTCAGGTCGGGTGACCTCGCAGGCCAAGGCACAGGGCCACCTCGACCTATCCACCTATTTGGAAATTTGTCGTCCAAATACTGCCGCACTTGTAAAGAAAAGTGGGCTGGAGCGCCATCGTGTTGAAACCACATGTTGGCTCTTATGTTCAGTGGCACATTTTCTAATAGTTCCGGTAGTACATGCTGTAAGAATCGACCATAAGCATGCCCATCCAAACGTGGTGGAAGCAAATATGGCCCGATGATATGCTCGTCCACAATGCCGTACCAGATGTTAATTGAAAACTGATGTTGGTCTCTATGGATGGCTATGGCATGAGGGTTTTCTTCATCCCAAATGTGACTGTTACGGCTATTAAAATAACCGTCCTTTGTAAAACAGGACTCGTCAGTGAACAAAACGTAGCGACCAAAGTTTGGTTGTCTCAACTCCATGAATCCTTGCAAAAATGGCGTGATGCGGATGAGGACGTTCTGGAAACCGTTGGGCGTAGATTCGCGAGGCTCGTCTTCCGTTACCACCAGCTTCTTCGTAAATTAAATGCATATCCGCAAGTTCCGCATACGAATAACGCTGCATTTTAACACTAAGGTACTGTTATTTACTATCTAGTTTGACGCACCACTCAGATAAATTAAATGAATCGGTGTGGAGAATTTACGATAACAAAAATGTAAACACAGCAGGCTTTTTTTACAAACCGGCGAGACCATGAAATGTGCTAGACGAACATTTTGCAGCTGGTGAATTTTTTGTTTCTCCTATGAGCTCTTAAGGTAAAATTAGCGGTAGTGCTCAAACGGCATATTTACGAACAGGGGTTTATAAGGCAAAATTGCATATTTTTATGCCCTCTACAACTCCTATCATTTTGTCGCAATAATTATGGAACACCCTGTATATATATATATATATATAAAAAGTAGGAAAGTTATGGGCAAAATCCGCAAAAAGGAGGAAAGTGGATTCGAGCAGAAAATAGGAAATAAACACATGTTTGGATCACGACGTAGTTATAAATCATCAATATATTTTCCAAATAAGGAGCATTCTGTTTCCTACAATTTTTGTAATTAAATTTTTCAGATCCCTTGCCTGATAACGGAGTTATCGACCAAGCCCACACTGAAAACTCACTCTGTATATATGTAGTGTAACATATAAGGTTGACAAGTCAAATGTTATAATTTCTTATAACCGACAAGACAATAAAGATTACCTGTCTATCTATCTATCTATCTAGAACATCTACAGGGTGTCACAGTAGGCATCTTCGTTTATTGTTTTGAAAAATTTTGGAAACGTTCCCGAAATAAGTATGCTGTTGGGAATATATAGTAGCTACTGTGTTAAATATCAGTTCATCGTTCGAATATAGAACACTTGGAGTAGCTAATTTGGAACATTTTGAGCAATATACTGATTTATTTTTGCAGATAATGTTCACCACCTAAAATACTTTATTTCTAACCTGATTCATATGAAGTATCGTGAAGAAATCCGGCCTGGTAAGGAGCTTACAACCAGGTGGTGCTTGGATATCTCCCGACATGGCTCCAGTACCTCCGCCAATAGGACCTGAAGCTTCTATCCTATTCTGACTTATAGTTCTGCAAAGATATAAAAGTTTAATTAAAATCTTAGCCAAACTATAAAAAATTCAACACGAATGGCAAACCATAGTAAATAATGATAATACAACTTAGCTCATATCTTAAAGCCTTTTATACGAAATTGAAGTGGAATGACATTGGTTTAAAATTAACGACGAAATTGGCTGTAAATCTTTATTTTTTTCTTTCAAACTAGCTGGTTAAGTTTCTGTTACCTTCGAATGCTTTGGTACCGCCTATCTAACTGCCTCCTATGTTGCTGTTCTTGTGCCCCAGCAGCTGTTTCTACAGTCCCTGTAGCCCCACTGCCTGCTACTGAACCAGGTCTTGTCCAGGACGTCGTTCTTGTTGCATGATCTATGTAGAATACTCTACCGTGGCTGTCCATTCGAGCCTCCCAAGCTAAAAAAAAACAATATATTATGGTCCTGTGAGTCATACTATTATCGTATAGGGTTTCACAAACGGTTTAGTCATGTCAGCTATATATTTCCATAATTGATAACAAAGTATAAATTATGTGGCATTGTCATTCTGTGACTGCTAACGTTCCGATCATAGATTTATTATTAATACACTTCAGATAATACACTCCTGTATACTTTTTAGAATAATCTATGGCAGTGTAATTTGAAGAAAACGATCTTCACTAAATCTCTATAAGATATAAAGGCTCGTTCGACTTTTAAATACTGAAACAGTCTATTTAAATTCCACTAATCCACAGTCTCAAACGAGACTGCCACTAGATTGTCAGTTTCGTTGGAAACGCAAAGACAACGTAACAAAGTGAAAATCGAGGTAAAGTTGGGTTGTAAACGGGTTACTTTTGGTGAGAACGGTGCAATGATGGGTGTAAGATTTATGACCTAATAACTAATTGTAAATTAAGAATATTAGTTCTATGCTTACACGGTGGCAATGGCTCTTCGTGTTCCCCCATTTCTGCTAATACTCTATGGCTCCTTTCAGGTATAGATGGCAGTCTTGTCGTGCTTAGCCTTTGGAGTGGTAAAGGTACTCCTCCACTTGCCTCGCCATTTGCATCTCTAACCCTGAAAGACAACAAAAAATGGCGTCAAGTAGGATGACTCTGTGCACTTATCACGTCGTTATTGGTTCATAAAGGATTATGTTCAGCACACACGTGACCCTCTGAGATTAAAGTTAATCACAGGCCCATACAATTAGACAATAGACATTCTTTCCCTGCCCTACTGGTAGACCATTTGGCAACGTCACCTCTCCCCGATACCTGAGTTGGACAGACGTGGCACCGCAGCCACAGCATAGGAAACACTATGTTATCAATGTCGTATAGCAGTCAAAAAACATATCTCATTTTCAAAAATTCAAGAGTAGAGGTAAAATCATAGAATCCACAATATGGGCTCATTGTCGGAGTACCGCGACTAATGGAAAGAAGTTGAAGATACACAGTTTGGGAAACCATTTTCTTAATAGATCTCTAGATTTTCAATGCCATAGCAACAAAGGCTGCGGCTGTAAGAACAGTTCTTTCTGGATGAGACGTAAACAAGTACACAGATCGTCATTGTCACCAGGAGAAGATCAAATACCAAATGAACTCTTAAAATATGGAGGTGATTACCTTGTACAACTGCAACTCCTTATTCAAGAAATAATCACCACGAACAGAATTCCAGATGAATGGAGGAGAGCGATCATGCTGATGTTCTTCAAGAAAGGAGAAAAGAAAGACCCCAAAAATTATCGAGCAATAAATCTGTTAAATACAATACTCAAATTGACAACAAGAATAATAGCGACACAAATAATCGAACGAATAACTCTGCAAGAGGAACAGCAAGGATTCCGGACAGAAGATCATGCACGGATGCAGTTTTTGTAATAAGACAAACAAAAGAAAAGTCGCTGGAAAACAACAAACCAGCATATATGTGCCTGATAGATTTGAAGAAAGCGTCTGATAGAGTGAGAATTCGGGACGCGATACATTTATTATATCACAGGGGAATACCACTGGATTTAGTAAAAGCTATTGAGAATATATATAAAGATAACAAAGCTATGGTAAGATGTAAAGGAAAACTCTCGCAACCTATCAAGTATGAAACTGGCATTAAACAAGGAGATTCGCTGAGCCCACTAATATTTAATCTGATAATGAATGAAATCATAAAGAAAGTTAAAAAAAGAAGAGGATATAGAATAGGAGAAAAGGAAATGCAGATAATATGCTACGCCGACGTCGCCATAATAATAGCCGAAAATCAAGATGACCTACAAAGATTAATTAAAGAATTCGAAGATACGGCGCTCATATACAACATGGTGATTTCAACAGAGAAAACTGAATCGATAGTGATATCAGCGGAACCAAGACGATGTAAACTGGTCGTAAATAACAAAATAATACAACAAGTGATGGAAACGGAATACTTGGGAATCAAACTGTCAAGCTATGGAAAAGTGGAAGAAGAAGTATAAAAACAAGTGAACATGGCGAACAGAGCAGCAGGATGTCTCAACAATACAATCTGGAGAAACAAATACCTCACAACGGAAACGAAAACTAGGATATATAAATCAACAATGAGACCGATAATGACGTACACAGCGGAAACAAGAGCAGATATGGCGAAAACACAAAGATTATTGGAAACAGCAGAAAATGAAAGTCTTACGAAAAATAACAAATCAAACTCTAAGAGACAGAGTAAGAAGTGAGGAAATACGAGCGAGATGTGGTATAGAGGAAATAAACCTGTGAACCAAAAGAAGAAAAATAGAATCGAATCAACACATAGAAAGAATGACAGAAAATAGAACAGTACGAATAGCAAAAGACAAATCGCCAAATGGAAGAAGATCAATGGGACACCGAGGAAAAGATGGTCAGTCAATATCAATTGAGGCTAAAACCGAAGTAAAGCAGGCATCAGCCTATTAATAAAGTAGGAAGAAGAAGAAGTCATTGTCAATAATTTGTACTCTAAAAAAGGCCATCACTGCAATGCAATTAGCACATATCGTCTCTGGGCGTTAGTCGGACAATGACCATTTGGAGTTAGCACCACCAGAAATCTCTAAGAGTGGATATCTACCTATCTAAGTGGCGTATCGCTCCTCGTTATAGTTAACGAAATATGGCAAATCAGTATGTGGATGGATCTCTTATTCTTACTAGTGCTAAAAGGACAAACGGGCATATATCGCGTCTCCTGTAAAATAGCTGAATTGGAGTTACGCGTCTTTGTCTTTCCAGCGACGATATGTGGTTCCATTTGGCCAAAAGTTCATGGATTTCAACCAAATTCAGCAAGTAAAAATATGAAAACAAATACCAGCCTGGAAATGCTTCGTTTTTATGATTTTACTCATTTGTTCAAATGGTATGAGTTCATGAGAAAATAAGACGTGTCGTTTTGAGAAAGTCATTAATTCCGCTTAAAAAGTGGAATTGCGAGTTTTTCGTTATGTTCGTTTCCAAGCATAGCACCAAACTACAGGCAGTCAGGCTGGTGGAGGATTCACCCTCAGCATGAGCATCTTGCTTTTGTATGTCTCAAAAGCCTCTGACAAGGTGTGGCACGCGGGCCTCCTCTATAAACTAATCCAAAAGGGTTTTCCTTTTTGGCTTCTAAAATTACCGAAATCCTTTCTTGGAGGAAGGAAGTTTCGGGTTAAAATTAACAATGTTTTGTCAACAACACGGCCTGTACGAACCGGTGTTCCTCAGGGTCCTTTCCTCGCTTTTTATCCATGATGTCCCTTGCCCTAGCAACTGTGAAGTCTACCTCTATGCCGACGACTCTGCACTTGTCACCCAGTCGTGTACTGGTGTTCTGGTTCATGATGGGTTGCAGAGTGTGGTGATCGAAGTACTAGAGTAGGCGGAACGGTGGCTGATTAAAATTAATCATTCGAAAACGCAGGCTATTTATTGTATCAAAATGTATCAAATGAGACACTATACAGAGACCTTGACATCCCTTACTTGAGGGATAATGTCAAGCGACGTTCTAGTCAAGCGGAATCGCACAGCAACCCTATGTTGCGTGGATCAGTGGACTACACAGTTGAGTAAGTTCGTAAGCATTCAAGGTTACGGCTCGTACTGTGATCAAAAATTACAGCGAACTTTTAGTAAACTCAAAATTACACTCTAACAAAACCAGAATCAAAATTTGTTTTTAGTTCAGTCAAAAAGGCTATGTGATTCCCATTAAATAAATACACGTCAGTTTTTCTTTGCTTTTCTCCTTTTTTCTCTTCTTTCTCTTTTTTCTTGACATTGTCTGGTTTCTGGACAACCAGGACTGACAGATTCGACTAACGTTCATTAGACAATGACTAACGGGCAAAGGTCCTACGGACCGCCCAGACAAACAAATGACGAATAGTAGTGGTCATGTTCGTTGATAAACTGTCAACTCGATTAATATTAATTGACGTATGATTCGCAAAATTTTTATTTCGGTTCAGAAAAGTAACGACTGTAAATGAGACATTTTTAAAGTAGAATCTTGCTTTAAGACATAGAGATTTGCCGACGCGAAAACGACAGGTGTAAGTGCTTTTAAAAATATTCTTATACGTGACGAGCGAATATTTTATAACGTGGCAATTCCGTCCTTCAAATTCGCTTGTTGCTTGACGATTTCTTCCAGGAGACCCGACAAGTGGCAACATGACAGAGGAAAGCGGCATGCTGAGAAGGTGTCACTGGATAGTCGGTCGGATTGCTCTGCTTTAATCCCCATCAAATCTGAACAATACTTTCGGGGAGCAGCCTCCAGAAAATATCTTCTCCATTCCCTTACTGTCTTAAACATGTAACCAAAACTTGACCTCACCTACTCTGGACCTCTCCGTCCTTGCCCTCCTCAGCTGTCACACCAGCAGCCGCAAGACCTAATAACCTCACCCCGTCTTCCTCTTGACCGCTATTCGCCGCTCCTGCAGCGCCATCTTCTTCCGTCGCCGTTGCGATGCTAACGGTGAGGTCAGGAGGCTCGGTCGATTTGAGGTCTGGAGGTCGCAAATCGCCGCAGTTCGATCTCGTAACGCCGCGTCGTCTGGCACGATGAGTTGGTGTAGGTGGACAGACTGGGAGGCTGGCTAGGTCATTGGATATCGCTGCCACCTGAAAGAGATAAAAAAAATTACTTCACTTTTACGAGAAACTGATTCGACTGGTATATTTTGCGACTTAAGGGCACTTTCTATTTTACCGCAAGCGTAGTTCCAGGATATCACGCCTCATTGTTGACCGATTTTAATGCAGTTTTTAGCTCAATAATCAGGCAAAAATTGTTAAGTTCGGGAAAAAACTTGTGTTTTGATAGTAATTTTTTGTCAAAAATAAATTATATTTCATTACTTTTTTGTGGAATCTTGTAGAATCTTTAGAAAACTATTTCTTATTACCAATTTACAAATTTGAAGCTTCTAAATTTAAAAACAACTGAGAAAATCAGGAACTACGAAATGCATTTTATCTCGTAAAACAGCGCCGCCTGGCTTGACTCTATGTAACGAGGGTATGGCTGTTTAAGCCAGTAGCGTACCTGTGAGAGTATAAAGGGATGATTGACACTCAACTGCATTGATCATCAAAAACTGAGTGAAAAGTTAAACAGTACGGTATCAGAGGTCCTCTCATCTATATTTTTATTTTTTAATAACAGGCTGCCATATGTTGCAATTAAAACCGTTAATATCCTATTAGGGGCGAATTTTATTTGCTCAGGCATCGACAAAGTTACGATTGGTGTGCTCCAAGGCTCTACTTGGGCCCCCTTTGTTCATTTTGATTTGCTTCTGGAATGATAGCTTCAGAAACACAACATAACCTAACTTTCTGCAGACTTCTGTTCCTAAAATAATAGGGACATATTTTTTTATGTCACAGATATCTTTTTCTTGAAATTTCAAATCGTATTCAGTATGTCTGTTGCTTACCCTTTGTAAGCCTTTAGGATGCGGCCTAACAATTTCCAAGCCACTTAAATGAGCTGTTGGTGCTAGCACTGGCCTATGAAGTGGCGTATGTTGTCCTCCACAGTCTTCTAGACTTTGTTGTTTAATCTTCTCCATATCAGGCACCTATCAAACAAAAATAAAATAAAAGAAAACATTCATAACAACCATCTCTGTTGTAGTAGTAGTGATGGGGAGGCAGTCACCTTTGACCCTTTTTGACTACCTCTTAGTGCCAATACTGTGCTAGTCCACAAGTCATCTACTAGTAACTGATTACTAAATAAACCAGTTCCAGTGACGCGATGTATCCGTAAGTTTAGCTCCTGTGATAGCAAAATAATAGAAAAATAGTTCAAATTAGATTGAGAGACTTTCTAAAAACCAACAAAATTATAATGGACGACAAAAATTTATGAAAACGAACTATTAGATATACGAGGGATGTCTTTTAAGTTTTGCATATGGAAATAAAACAACACGGTAGGTAGTTTTAAGAGGAATTGTTGCAATATGACCCGCTTTTGACACAAATGTCGCGACCATCTTTTTCGAAACACTTCGAGAACGGATGACTTTTGTTGGATTTTCTTCACCTTGGAACACCCAAACAGCCGACTGTCGTTTATTTTCTGGTTGATAACAGTAAATCCACGATGCATCACCACTAACAATGCTGTACACATTTTTTGAGTTTCCGGAATTGAAACGGTCAAGCGTTTATTGACACCAATTAACGCTGACTGATTTCTGCTCTTCAGTCAACAGGTGGGGTATCCAACGAGAAACTAATTGTCTTACTCCTAATTCTTCATGTGAATTTTTTTTAATTGAGGTCTTTGACATCTTCAAGGACGCCTCAATCTCGCGATATGTCACATCTCTATCTTCAATGATGAGTTTGCGCACAGCATCGACGTCTTCCTGGGTGACTGCCGTCTTTGGTGCACCCACCCTGGGATCGTCGCTAAGACTCACCCGTCCACGTTTGAATTCTCCATACCAACGGGAAATTGTCGACTGATGTGGCGCTTTTTACTGAAAACAGACAGTAACTCAGCAAGGCATTTTTGTTGCGATAATTGTCTCTGAAAGTTGTAATTAATTATGGCGCGAAAATGTTCTCGGTTGAGTTCCATTTTTCTAATGACTTGGTGACACTTAAAAATTCACTGTAGTGAGAACACTGCACGTATTGTTGTGAAAGTTTGAATTTAAGTTTACTATGAGTGAGGTTAAGGTTCAGTACTGACGTTTGATCCGCGCGGCCTACTATGTTTCTATATGCAAAACTTAAAAGACATCCCTCGTATATCTAAAAGCAATCCTAGAGTTACATGCAGGCCTTTATTTGTAAAGCTGACGTATCACTGTTGATTTCAGTAACACTAACTTTTGTTTTTAAAAATAAATCTAAATTTGAAACATTAAATATAAGTTACTATATTACACGGAAACAAGATCCTTAATTAGTAGTACCTAAAACAACACTTGTGAAAGACTGAATAATTATTTATAATGGTCTGAAAATTTACATGTGTCTCCCTGATGCTATCAAAAGAATTAACAATTTAAAGACATTCCGCCATAAACTTGAAAAATGTTTAATGTGTAAACCATATTATACCTAACACAACATCCATGACTCGGAATTAACTTCCGAGGCGGAGATTCGAACCACTCGTCTACATAGGCCCCCTGAGAATCATCCCTGATATGGATCAATAGTTATAAAACTTATTTATTGTAGAGTTTTCCTGGATCCGAACAAAACATCAACTTTAGTAGTTAATGATCATTTCATTAGTGTCAGTAGATTTCTACCTAACCTTATACATCAATAATTACTGACATTCTGGCTTCCACGTACAATAAATATCACATTCCACGGTTAATACCGACAGATCACAGTAAATAATGATCGTATGACATTCGCCGGACAAAGTACTCGAGGTAGATATAAAACGTTTGAGTGAGTTCAAGCGTCTATAAGGAAGAATCCGGGAATCAAATAATAAAAATGAACTGAACGGCATCGGAAATACCAACTTTAACAAAGTACTTTACTTAATTGATTAAAAATCTCCAACTAATATATTGTCATTATAACGTTATTCAAATTAAATTGTTTTATGATATTCTTACCTGTCTAGTAAGCGGTTTATGCGGTTTAGCTAATGACTCTGAACTAAAACAACCATCTACTGCATCTGTTGAGGAACTACTGTGCGACGAACTTTGACTATCTTTCTTCTCTAAGAGTATATGGTGGTGTTGGAGGGGTAATTGAGGACTAGAATCTGCAAAAACAAAATATAAATTCTATAAAATTCACTACTAAAGGTCTTAGTTCATTACCCCATCATAGCATACTCGGGAACCGAAAAGGAAGATAGCACCGAAATATACCGCATGCCTTTGCAAACGCGGCATCTTTTCGAATAGAGTCGGCGTCAGGTATAGTAGACGACAACGATATTGTATTCGTTAACTTTTTTTGCGGATAGTCACAAAACGGATATAAAACCGAGAACCGGAGGCATGAGGACAGAGACGGGTCTGAAAATTTTCAAACAGTTTCTCTTGCAAGCCTAGATGAGATGAGAGATGACTGAATCAAGTTGTTGAAGTAACGTTGATTGTTATAGGTTTCGAATCTCTGAAATGTTCGCAGGGTCAACTCTCGCCTCTTTCCATCAATTGTACCATCTCTGGAAGGTACAGAGATGCCCCCTTGTCAATTCTTCTTTTCCTTGGTTTGACACCGTTACGAATAATTTTACGAATTGTAGGATATCGCATGTTAGTCAGTTCGGCTGTTTTTTAAAGGACACTACTATTGCCGCTGTCACCCATTTCACGTAACAGGCCGTTATAAAAATTAATACAAATCTGTTGAACATAAACAGACAGGTACTTTCTTTTCACTGTCCGAATCGTCTTTGCTGCAAGATGGGTTTTCATCATTCATAGCGCCTTTGTACATATAATTTTCGATGTCCGTGGGCCGCTGACCTGCCTAAGCAGATCGTTCCCAAGGGCGGAAAAAATTCGTATCGCACATAATTATTATTCAAGATGTCGTCCGTTAACCTCCATTGTCTGCATAGATCTGAAAATATATTCCCGAATATCGCTTTGTTGCATCGCGCTTATTCACCTGCGCGCGGGGCTCGGGAGGGCAGCCACATTATGTTAACTTGTTGGTATGAGAGTATGGAAACAATGCGATTTTTTAAATTCGCTACATTCAACCCAATTGTATCAAACTATTAGAGATTTTTAGTTTATTGCACATTGCTCAAATGTATAATTTATACAGATGAACCACATTCCATTATTATTTATACCGTGTCATATAATAACCGTACTATATGGCGGGTGGGTAATACAAGGAAGAAGGAAAAATGCAAACGAATACAATATCGTTGTCGTCTACTATACCCCGCCATATCCACAAACATACTGTGTGATCATGGGTGTACCATGTTTTTCACTGCTCTCTTCCTGTTCGGTTGCCTAGTACAGGTTCATGACACGAACGTAGTATACGAGGGAAAATCAAATATGAACCACTTTTAAACGCTCTCTAGGTGAAGTAAATGATGACTTCATATACGTTGAGTGGAGATGTACGGTGGGTAGAAGTAAACCGTCTGTGAGTAGCATCATGTCTGTCAACAATTGTTGTATCGACTACTACACTGTTTGATGAAAAACAGTTTCAAGACTCATGTCTACGTCTGGCACAAAAAGCCGGCCGCAAAAAGCCAATATACGTCTTGCTGCTGGGAAATTTCTCACAGCGATTTTTGGAACTACACGCATAATGCTTCTTGGTCTTCCACATGGACGGCGCAACTGTTTGATGATGTAAAAGGCGAAACATTTCAAGTAGCACTAAAAAAAAGTAGGAGAAACCTAACGAAAAAAGTGGGACAAACCTAACGGAAAAAGTTAGTCAAACCCAACTAAAAAAATTGGGACAAACCTAACGAAAAACCTGGGACAAACCTAACGAAAAAAAGTGGGATAAATGTAAAGAAAAAAAGTGGGACAAACCTAACGAAGAAAGTAGAACAGACCGAATGAAAAATAGTGAGACAAACTTAACAAAAAAAATGGGACAAACCTAACTTAAAATCTGGGATAAACGTAACGGAGAAGTAAAACAGACCTAACGAAAAAGTAGGACGAACCTAACGAAGAAAGTGGGACAAACCTAACAGAAAAAAATGAGACAAGCTCAGCGAAAAAAAATGGGACAAACCTAACGAAAAACCTGGAATAAACGTAACGGAGAAGTGGGACAAACCTAACGAAAAAAAGTAGGACAAACCTAACGAAAAAAGTGGGACAAACCTAACGGAAAAAGTTAGACAAACCCAACTAAAAAAATTGGGACAAACCCAACGAAAAACCTGGGATACCTAACGGAGAAGTGGGACAAATCTAATGAAAAAAGTGGGACAAACCTAAAGAAAAAAAAAAGTGAGACAAACCTAACGAAAAAAAGTAGGACAGACCTAACGAAGAATGTGGGACAACCCTAACGAAAAAAATCGGGACAAACTCAACGAAAAACTTAGGATAAACCTAACGGAGAAGTGGGACAAGCCTAACGAATAAAAGTGGGACAAACCTAACCAAAAAGGTAGTACAAACCTAACGAAAAAAGTGGGATAGTACCAACGAAAAAGATGGGACAAACCTAACGGAAAAAAGTGGACAAACCTAACGAAAAACCTGGGATAAACCTAACAGAAAAAAAAACTAGTATTTGAGGGTTAAATGGATTTGTTGTGGTAAAAAGATTATAGTTTTAAAGTTACCTGGAGATATACTGCCAGAACTTAAGAACTGTTCAGCATTTAATACTGCTTTTAAAGAGTCTAATAAGGTCATCAAATAAGATTAATCATTCTTAAGACTCAAGACTAAATCGTTTTAATTCCATGCTTTACTCTGGGATGAGTGCTCTTGAAACGGTACAAAATAAAATACTTAGATCCTAACGTTGTTCTGACGACTGAATACATGTGTTTATCCAATTTCCGGCCATTTTGCCTTCTCGAGACGCTGGAAGCCATGATGGAGAACAATATTGAGGCTCACAGAAAAATGATAAATTATCATGGTAGACAATATTTTTTGAGATGTATTTGAACAAACCTCTAATGAAACATTTTGCATTTATTTGCTCCCCGTTCGTATGTCTCAAAGACTAAACCTAAACCGCACTGATGAGTTGCTAACGAGCACGAAACAGCGCTGTCTTAAATGAAACAGTTCAAACCTATTTGTGGTTGAGATTACTTACTTTTACTTAGCACTGTCGTTATATAATTATCACAACCAATAAGTTTCTTGCCGTTTTCAGCAAAAGCAGCCTTCAGTTTATGAGTTGGAGTACTGGTCATTTCAACGTCAGACAAAGAAGATGCTGTTGATGCTGTACCAAAAGACCTGAAAGAATATAAATGTGTAAGCTTCAAATATTAATAGAGCATTGACATATAGTCGTTAATGATATTAATCCAGTTTCCACGAGCTAAATTTTATAGTAAGTCGTGAAATAAGCTTCGTCTGCAGATGAATGAAACAATGCTTCAGAATTAATTAAGGAAAATTTGCTAACACACAACATATTGTCAAGCAACTGTTGAGGCAAACCCTTAATATCGTGGCACTACAACTTTTCATAATCTAATGAAGCAGATTATAATAAAAGTTTGAACTGTGAGTGGACCAGAAAAGATTTCTATTGCCAGTGGTTAGATTGAAATATTTCACTGTTTACAAAGCCCCCTGACAGTCAATTTTTGGAAACAATGGTGTAAACTAAATAAGATCGTCGTTCTTTATATGTACTTGAACCACCTCGAAGTACCAAGGCCTACACACCCATGGGTACCGTGGGGCTACACAGGGTTATCCAAATTAAGTGTCCACCATTAGTAACTTTGTTATTAGTGAAAATACAAAGTTGTTTGAATTAGCAAACTAGTAGCATTTTTAACGCTGGTAAAAATGAGAAATAAAAAAAAACAATTGAGAGTCGTTATTTTGATTTTTTTCAGTAAAATAACATTTTTTTAAATGGAAACCCCTGTATATTATATTTTTTTCTGTTAAAGCATCAAATTTTAAACAAAAAAGCTTACAATAACTTTTCTCCTAGGTTACAAATTGTTGAAGTTATGGCCTCCAATCTGAAACAATTAAATTGTATCGACAAACTTTATTTTCAACATCAACTTACGTATAATCTTACAAAATACAATAACAATTTTTTTTAAAGAAGATGCTCGAAAACACCACCTTGTTCTTCAATACATTTTTGGGCACGTTTTTCAACTGCTCGAACTGTCTTAAGTATGGTCCTACCATCTATCTGGGTTATCTTTTCCCTAACTGCAGTCTTTAACGCGTCAAGGTTATCGTACCTTCGCTTGTAAATTTGGTTCTTTAAGTAACCCCACAAGAAGTAATCAAGTGGGTTTAGATCTGGTGATCTGGGAGGCCACTGTATTGGGCCATTTGTTCCTATCCACTGATCATTAAAAGTAGTACTTAGAAAATGATAAGTACCTCTGGAGTTGTGGGCAGGTGCGCCATCTTGCTGAAAATGCAGATGATGTCTACTTATAAGATCCAATTCGTCTAAGAAATTAGTCAGAATTTCTGACATAAATTCCACATATCTTTCACCAGTTAGGGTTCCCTCATAAAAGAACGGGCCAACAATTTTTGAACCAATTATACCGCACCAAACGTTGAAACTGAAACGGACTTGTGGGCCTCTTGGATGTACTAACAAAAGATTTTCTCTTGACCAATAATGGTGTTTTTTTTTATTAAATATTCCAGAATTTGAAAAATTTGATTCATCTGTCCATAAAAGATAACGAAAGTTATTTACATTTTGGCGACAGAAGCTAAGATACCAATGGCAAAAAACAAGTCTTCTCTCTGGATCCCCTGCCAAAAGCGTTTGAACTGGTGGGTACTTATACGGAATAAATTTGTATTTTTTTAAAATCCTTTGAACAGTACCATAACTGAAATTAGAGTCCTTGAGAATATCTGCTATTGAATTCTCACGATAAGCTTCAAAATATCCAATAACTGCAATTTCCGTGGCCTCGCTTATTATGAATTCTTTTTTTGCCCTTGTTTTAGCAAAAACATTTTCGTTGCCCCTAAATTTTCGATAAAGTCTCAGAAAATATCGTTCATACGGTTGAATGCGAGCGGGATATAATTCACTGTAGTATTCTCTTGCTCTCAAGGAGGATTTTCTGCACACTAAATAGCATTCTAACATATCACACTTTTCTTCATGGGAGAACATTTTTCTTTAAATTAATGACACAATAAAGCTTATAAACAAGTATTTACACTAATGTTTGACATTATTTGATTTTATCATTGTTTTCCAAAGCCTTCTAGTTGCGAGTATGTCCAGTTTAACAATTTGTCGCTTATCTTAATGCTGTCAAATCGCGAACGCCATGTTGTTTTCATAGCCGTCTTAATATTATAATACTGCAAATAATTAAAAATATTTATCGTTATTTTGACTTTATTTTTGACTTTAGCGGAAAAGTCATTATGAACTTTTTTGTTTAAAATTTGATGCTTTAACAGAAAAAAATATAATATACAGGGGTTTCCATTTAAAAAAATGTTATTTTACTGAAACAAATCAAAATAACGACTCTCAATTGTTTTTTTTTATTTCTCATTTTTACCAGCGTTAAAAATGCTACTAGTTTGCTAATTTAAACAACTTTGTATTTTTACTAATAACAAAGTTACCAATGGTGGACACTTAATTTGGATAACCCTGTATATATGCAACATGCAGACATTTTGGCCCCAACTTAAGAGATCCGCCGGGTGGTACCTTCACGTTCTATGACCATTCAAAAAACGAAAAGAAAAGTCGCTCCCTGTGTGATTCTTTTGATAAATAGCAGGAGAGAGGGTGGGGGAATCTCGTCATCATCTATTAGTTTCATCTCTAAAGTCGATGTTAATTTTATAATGTCTCATTTAGTTATATAAACAAGTACATTTTTACAAAAATACAATCAACCCAACTGCAGTAACTGAAAAGAATCAAGATTTAATTGTGCTTTCAAAAGAAATCTAGACATCTCATATTCTGAAATCCATCAAGCCGTTCAAAATATGAATTTCAGGGTTGATTTTTTTAATTAAGACCCGCTACTGTTTTTATGAAATTTTAATATAGTCAGCGACATTCGCACTGCTAACCCTGTGAAATAGAATTTTTTGTACAAGCTTACATATTATTTCACAGAAAATAGACGCATTTTCAGGAGCATTATAGAAAGAATGGCAGCAGTGTTCAATTTTACTCCCCCTAGGCGGCGATAGTTTGGTTGGAGGTCGATCTGTCAAAACTTGAGAAAGAGACAGATTTCATAGAAAGGAAAGCTGTTTATAACTTAAGACATGATAGCCAGCCTAAATAACGCCTTCCAGATTACCCCATTGGCACACGTTTGCTGAGAGTCGATAAAATCCAATTCATATGTATATCCTATTTCGTAAAAGTATAATTTCTTCTCAACGGGGACATTCAACGTATTGCTTATTTTTGATGACATGGGGGTATGGTCTGGATGCTGATGCTGATTACGTCAGCAATACTATTTTTTTACTTTTTCGGAATTGCTTCAAAATTTAGTCGATTTTGAGTTAAAAACATGGCAGCCCTGCTCGAAAGCGAAATTTATCTTCAGAGATACGCCAACGTTATGAATAGTGGACGCGTTTTTCATTATTCCCATTAAATTACAGAAAACGATTCTCTAACAACTTTAGACTAAAACTCTTACCTGTACTCCTCATCAGTATCAATAATCTCAAACCCAAACGTATCTTCCAGCCTTGGTTGCTGCTGTTTCTTCTGCGGTTTATTTTGCCTATGTACAGCCGGTGGCGTAGAAAAAGGGCTGGCGAGGGCATGGGATCTTTCCAAGGGCCTGTGAAGTACTACCGGCGGTACAACTGTTGAAGGAGAAGCCCTAGGTGGCAGTGGAGGCGCTTCGACGATGTCCGAAGGACTTTCTGATAACATGTGACATACTGGACTTTCTGGAAGGAAAATGCACAGATGGAATATAGCAACATTGTCTTCAAATCTATATAGGAATCACTGTTCAAATCGTAAAGTAACCGACTGTTTTGGTCAAAGTTTATTGCGTTCATGATCAAACCCACGAGTAGCCCAAGAGCGCTATTCAAGCGAAACGAAACAATAAAACACTACACTTTCTGGATATTTATATTCATGCAAATATGTATAATGCTATATTCGCTATGCAACAGCACAACATCCAACGTTCATCTTATGGAGTACCTAGGCAAAGTTATCTATTCGATAGCTGAAATATCGACCATTTCTGAAAGAGGGTGCAGTTTATCCATCGAGATAGTATACCGGATGTTTCAAATTCGAACCTCATGACGGAAACTGTAAGAGATATGAAGTCACTTAGATGGGGGCAAAGTTTTTTTAATCAGAATTAAAAACTCTATTCGTCTGTGTATAAATGTGATATGGCTTCCACAAGAAAAAACAAATTTAATGCTGGAGAACAAGTGATGAAAAAAATGTGGCAATGTTAATGTACAATTTATTTTGAAATCCTACTACGAATAAAATCAGGAAACATTAAATCGATTTTGGGAAAACTCGGTGTTTCCCCTCTCTCCAGAAGTACTTCGAATTTCAAAACTTCTAAGCGGCATTTTGTTAAATACGCAACTTGTCCCCATTTAAGCGGCTAATAAACTATTTTATGTAAAATCCTATAAAACGACAAAAAATCTATAAAATGTCATCTTGCAGACTAGGTGGTTTTTAGGGTACAAACAGTAATAATAATAATAATAATGTGTATTGGTCTGCTTGTGTATAAAATCAGTGTGAGAAAATCATTACTGAATATGCTGCCAATGAAGTATATCTATTAGCTGTGCCCGACCGGTTATTTATATATTGTCCTTTCTGAACACAGGTTATGTTCAAAGTTGTAAATTACGATTTTGTAGTTGTTTTTAGGATGCAAACAGTCATTCCACGTTTGCTCACTAGGATCGTTGTGAGCGTCCATCTATAGAGAAATAGCTCAACTACGCGCATTGTTGGTTGCCTATGTTTTGTTAAGCCGAGTAGTCTATAGTTTTCATCTCTGAGAAGAAAGTTGGTTTAATAGCAAGATCGCATCAGGATGATTATGTGTATTGGTCTGCATGTGTATAAAATCAATGATATTTGCTGTGTGAGAAAATCATTACTGAATATGCTGCCAATATACATATATTAGCTGTGCCCGACGGGTTATTTATATGTTGTCCTTACTGATGACAGGTTATGTTCAAAGTTATAAATCACGATTTATTACGTTTTTTTTTTTTTGTTTTCAAAAACTTTGAGGAGAATTACGGAAAATCACCACCGCGCCCGCGTTGTGTGTAATTAGTGTAAGCATGTATATGACTTGTAATTCGACAGTGTACAGTGAATATAATTATTTTTTATCTCTCTAAGTCGATACGCAACAAATTTCTAGCTTTGAATCCCAAGTAAGTGTATTTGAGACAAGAATCCGATCAAATTATCAACACATATTATTAGAACACAAATCCTCACTATGCATCTATGCATTGCCGTTAACTCCAGTAAAGCCATCTCTGAAGCAGATTTTACATCACAACAGAGCCAAACATTGGTAAGTGAAGCATCATGACGTTTAGGCAACACGTACAACTACAAAAAGAGTCCACAACGTGTCCATCAGCTAGTCCATCTTGTAGAAAAACCTACACAATGTCACTAAAAACCAATACAATGTTAAAAAAATCGACATAATGTCACTTTTCATCATTTGTCACTTTATTTTACGTTTGAACTTTGTAGGGCAATTTTTTCCAATTATCGTTCAGAGAAAAAAGTGATATCCGTTAGAATATAATTTTCATGAAGCAAAATATAGATACGAAATGAACATTTTGAAAAATACAACCATTATTTGCATCATACATTAACCGGGGTATCGGGAACGTCGATCACTTTGCGATCTAACCAAACAAATGGATAAAGACAGGGACCAAATCTGACATATAAAAAGCTTGTCTACTGCGAACAGGTAATTTGAAAAAAATATAGCTAATAAAAACGTTTGATGTTGAATTACCTTCTTCTTCAGGTGACGGCGACGTCGAAGCATTCCATATGTGGAAGTATTCTTTCCCTGGCGATTTCGCGCCTCCTTTCACCCTAATCTTCTTCTTTGTTCCCCCTGCCCCCTCCAAGGAGCACACCCCATTGGGAGATTTTTTCTTCGCGCCAGACACTATTCCTTCTTTACTACCGTTGTTTTCTACTAACGTTTCGGATGGTGGCGTCGAGTCATTCAGAGAATTGAACTCCTGTAATACAGGGTGTAAACGTTATGGTAGTCATTATTAAAATGGGTAATAGGGGGGGGGGGGTTAAAACAAGTCAAAAAGTGACATGACCCATGGTCCAAAAGTCAATAGATTTTTGTCTAAATGGCTTTACAGTTTACAACTTTAAGTGCTTTATATCGACCACAATCTCACTAATTTTTATAATCTAATCTAAAACGTTTTTAAATTGGGGAATTAACAAATAAATGGCATTAAGTTTTTCTAAGTTAAGCCAAAATTTGTAGTCAGTAAGTTTCATTAAATTAAATATTTAAAACACACATGAAAACAGCGCGTCGGTCATTCATCACTCTTATCGAACCGGCAATAGATCGCTAACGGTAACAGTGGTTAGTTATCGTTTTGCATAGATAAATTGCTTTAACGTTTTGTCAAGCAGAGCATCGGGCGTGTTGTTTTGTTTTTGTTCACGTACGTCGCCGTGTTTATTTACAATGTTCTCGAATCAAGAATTCGCCGACATGTTGTTAGTTCACGGTGAAGCTCGTCAGAATTCAAATCTTGCAGCTCAAATTTATCTCGTCAGATTTCGCCAACGGGTACACCCTGACAGAAGGACATTTGTGCAAGTGTACCAGAGACTTCGAGATACAGGAAGTGTCCAGCCCACTAATATTCGCACTCGTGAAAGACAGGTTACTGTAGAGCAGGAGAAATAAATTTTAAATATCGTGGAAATCGAAAACGAGTGCAGGCCTTGTTAACAGAAGACTATCCTCGCAGACTAAGATTCTGTCAGTGGTTTTTGGACAAAAACATTGAAAATCCGGATTTTTATAAAAACATTCTAGAGACGGGATATTAAATTTCCATAATACTCACACGTGGGCCCAAGAAAATCTTCATACCATTCGTGAAGGTCATTTCCAACAACGTTTTAAAATAAATATTTGGGCGGGTATTCTTGACGATCAGGTAATTGGCCCTTTCGAGTTACCCCCAAAGTTGTAGGAGAAGAATATCTTAGCTTTCTAACCAATAACCTACCAGAACTTTTGGAACAGACCTTAGACAACATGCCATTACAACGGAGACAGAATTTGTGGTTTCTTCATGACGGGGCACCACCACACATTTTTAGAGGCGTCAGTATTTGAATGAACATTATCCAAATCGGTGGATCGGTCGAAATGCTCCTGATCCTTGAAAATGGCCAGCAAGATCTCCTGACCTCAATCCGATGGATTTTTGGTATTGGGGGGAACTTTAAGGTATGCTGTTTGTCCAATAACAACTGAAGCACAACTTCGCGAAATAAAATTTTAATGCGGCTGAATTAATAAATGGACAACTTCGAGGACCTAGAGTAAGAAGAAACTGGGTTCGTCGTAATGAAGCTTGTGTGGAATGTGGAGGATGACATTTTGAAAACCTTCTTTAAATACAAAAAGTGCAGTGTGGGTTTTAAAAAGAAAAACAATGTATGCATCAAAATTGTGTCCCCTATTTATAAGTGTATTTTTTTAATACGTTCAATAAACTTTCACACACCTGGTGAAGCTCTGAGACATTTAGTGATAAGTCCGTTTTTTAATTGTTTGCATTTTACGAGTACATTATCAAATAATGAAATAATACCTAAGAGCCAAAAATATTACAAACTCCATCTTCATTTACACTGCGTTCCGTCGCAATTTGCGTCTGGCATTGCGGCGTTGTCAGATTTTATTTTACTTTTAAGTCGCTTTTCTCTAAAAAATGCCGTTTGTTATATGAAACTTTTAGCTTCTTTTAACCTCCCTCTATCACCCATTTAAATAATGACTATCAAAATAGATTTATTCAGTACTTTTTACGCAGTCATATACGTCTATTTTGAAACCTTCCATACGTACAGAGTGAAAATTCTTACTTCACAAATCCTCTAAACTTGCCTTAAAGTGATAAGAAACTTAAAAAACGGTAAAAAATAAATTTCGAAATTTTGTTTCAAAGTTTGACTTCTCCAAATAATTGTTTTGACCGGGCCCAAAAACTGTCAAACATACAAACGTGAAGTGGAGGAAACTAAGAATTTAGGAATTTTATTGGACTCAAATTTAAGTTTTGAGAACCATGTAATAAACAAGCTTCGATAATGCTATTGTAAATATAAGTCACTTTGGATACAGAAACATGTTTTAACCAGTGGTAAAAAATTAAGACTCACCAATGGACTAATCCTCACTCATTTAGACTATGGCGCTACAGTATATTATAATTTTCTTACGGAGGAAATGAAGCACAAAATTCAAGTGTTGCAAAACTGCTGCACGAAATTCTGTTTAAAAGATACATAAACAAGAACATATTACCGACTATTGTTTAAGAGAAAATGTTTTAAAATTCATCATGTATTACTGCAGTATGCGAATTAAGAAAGTGTAAGCGACATACATTTTGAACATGGACATAAATCTTTCATGGAAATCTACTGACAAAACCCGTAGTGTATGAGTTTGGATAGGCTATACCATATGATGTTACCACGAAAATTCGACTGACGTTCAAATTAAAACAAACAAATTCCGATTCATATCAATTTCGGTATATTAATTTTCTGATTATTTTTTCTTTCTCTGTGATTAATATTTATTTTTTCAATCATCGGCCAATTCGTAAGATTACTTGCATCTCCCTGGAAAACCGTAAAAACACTATTTTTCAAATCTGGGCAATTTTGCATCAAAACAAAAAAAGGGTCAGAGGTGTTCAAAGTAGCCAAGAATTAGATGATTTGATATTAGTGATATTTTTAAACGTTGCAGCTTCTTTTATGCGACCTCTTACCTTCTCTTGTATCACAGTGTCCTGTTCATCCTGGAAACCATCGTTCTCCATTCCTGAGCATTTCTGATGTTGATGTTTCCGCGCCCTAATGAACTTCTTCAATTTGTCTACAGGATGTTTAATGATCAACGAATCGGACTGAGCGATGTAATCCAGAGTCGTACCATCGTAATACCGGAACCACAGCAATTTTTCACAGTCTAAAATAATAAGAAACAAATATGACAGCGTTTTCCGAAATAACATCCGACGGTAAAAGTTGAAGAAGATCCTCCTTCGAGGTACTACATACAACATCTATTTATGTAGAATGTTTGTACCAAGGTATTGGAAAATGTCGTCAAGTAGGTTTAGCTCTTCACTTCCTACACAAGGATGTTATCAGTTCACAAAGGATTAAGTTCAGCTAAAAAAAAGTCAGTTATGAACATGTACAGCAGGGAGATTAAACGGATCAAGTCAGCCAAAAATGCCCATAGACATTCTGTCCCCGCCCTACCGGTAGTTACTGTCCATCTAGCAACGCTGTCCCTTTCCATATCTGCGCGGCATCGCCCACCGCAGCACTGCTGCAGCGAGCATTCGTTTATTCCGGGTATATGTTTTTCGTGCTACAGTACGGATAGATTGGTCAGCCTGACCGGTATCATGCCATTTTAAGTTTTAAAGGCAAATGTACGGGGAAATAATATACCAACAGAAAAATTTCATAAACCCTCACCCTTGGCCCAACCCCTGAATTTAAGCCCCTACAAACATTTTTCTGAAAAAGACCAGGAGCCTCTTAATCGTCGGAAAATGAAGTTAATTCTTCCATGTTTTCGCTCCTAGATCTACAGCCACTGGACCGATTTTCAAAAACTAACAAAGCTTTTTTGACCTTGGCATAGAAGTGATCTTATGTAAGATTTTTATCCAAATTAGAGCGGTACTTCCCAAGTTATAGGCGGTCCAAGGTTAGCAGACAGTCAGACCGACGGAAATTAGTGACATGTTTTTTCCTGATGTACATGTCATATACCCTATAAAAACCATAATATCTGATTTTCGTATTTTTTCGCGATTACAATAATTCCTTGCCCAGTGGCGAAATTCGTTAATATTTCCAGAACCCCTTCAGATATTTCACTGATATTTCGAACGTAGTGAAAGTTAGTAAAGTTGCATATTTTTCAATGCAAAAATAATTTTTAGCTTTAACAGTGGCGTGCGTACGAGTATTGACTTCGATATTTTTCAAAAAAAAACGGTACGCCAATGGTTTTTTGCCAAATAAAAATTGTTTTTGAATTCCCCGTTCAATTTAAAACAAATGATCTTTCTTGAATTGTTTCCCTTCGATGCGCCATTTTTGAGTAAAAAAATAAAAACCGTTCTATTGTCCGACAAAATTAATGTAATAATTGAAAAATGCAATCTAGCAATAAATATATAGTTGCTCTGGAATATGTCACTGGCTCTTGACATCTGACAAGTCTCTGTTATTCAAATCTGTTCGCTGTGACATCTTTTTCATTATTTAGTTTATACAATCTTGTTAATAATGGTTAATATTATTCAAATGCAGAAATGGCGGAAATGCTTAACGTATATGGCGTAGCCGATGGTAAAGGTGAGCAAGCCAGACAGAGATATCCCGATCGTGCTTTGCCAGATAGTCGAATCTTTTCTAATATTCATCGTCGTCTTGTTGAAACTGGTTCTGTCCGAAAAGGAACATCTGAAGGTAGACCTCTAAGTATGACACTTAAATATTTGCCATCAGCTCGTTTGGAGAATTTTAGTGGAATTTTTGTTATATCCTTGCCATATTTTAAGAGTACAGGCATTACTTCCCACTGATTTTCCAAGGCGTGTGACCCTTTGTCAGTGGTAACTTCAAAAAATTACACAAAATCCGCCATTTGAATCCATGATTCTGTTCACGGACGAAACTATTTTTTCTCGAAATGCCATTCAGAATTTCCACAATAATTATTTGTGGGCAGAAGAAAAGTTCTTTGCCGTAACCGAAACCCATTTCCAACACCAATTTTCGGTTAACGTATCGGCAGGAATTATTGGCAACCACTTATTGGCCCATTCTTCTTGCCGGGACGACTTGACGGACAGACTTACCTCAATTTTCTTCAGCAACACCGGCGCATTTCAGTGTAGCGGTTCGTAATTATTTACAAACTGGTCCCCAGACCTCAACAGTTTATATTCCTTTTTGTGGGGCTATCTTAAGACACTAGTGTACACAAGTCCCATTAACACTGTAGAGGAATTAAGAGAAAGAATAGTTGCAGCTTGTGATAGAATAATAAACACTCCAGGGATATTTCAACGAGTGCGCAATTCCGTGAGGAGGGCGGAAGCATGCATACTAAGTGCTTTTCAACAATTTTTTTAATCACTTCGTTGGTTTTAATGTTATGTTTATGTTGTCAGTTGTTGTTGTTCATTACCCCTAATGTGTTCAATTTTTCCAATTAAATTAATAATAATTTTGCAAGTTAGACAATAGAACGGTTTTTATTTTTTTTTTTACTCAAAAATGGCGCATCGACGGAAAACAATTTAAGAGAGATCATTTGTTTTAAATTGAACGGGTAATTCAAAAATAATTTTTATTTGCCAAAAAACTATTGGCGCACCATTTTTTTTCTTCAAAAATATCGAAGGCAATACCCGTACGCACGCCACTGTTAAAGGTGAAAAAAAATTTGCATTGAAAAATTAACTTTCAAGGAAACATTTTTGGACCATACTTTATAAACCAAACTAACATTAATTTTTCATGTAGATTCACACCCTTAAATATTCGCATATCATTAAGGAACACAATGTAGAATCATACGAATTGACTGGCTTTTAAAACCAAATAGACAATGGAGGCAGAAACCTGAAGACAGAGGAACGGCGACTGGAAAACTTATGACCTCAGCCTAACTCGCGGAAGCATCATGGATGAAAGTTCAGATGAGCAAAGTTCTCTGGTAAATCAGTGGACGCGAGCTATGTCCTGTGATTTGAACTGTCTTATATGATAAATGCATTATAGCTACTCGACCTATCACCCAATTATTTAGTGCAAGAAAGGCAAAGTTCTGTGCAGTGCCGGTGGTCAGACGGCGAAGAATTACCATGCTGAATGCACCGACTTCGTTTGAGGTAGGGGTATTTAGATAACACTAACATGGTGCATCGAGATTAATTTACACCACATTTCGGACGGGCGAAATTCCAAGGGGGGAAAAGTGAAACTTCAAAGGGCAGACTTGGTGAGGGGTGGGGCTTGCGTATGATAGGAATACCGGTTGCAGAAGCATTCAGGCCACGTGCCGCCACGTGTGAGACTACCTGGACCGGGGTGGTGGTGGGACCGCTTAGGAATCGCGTGTTCCTTTCCCAATTATTTGAGCTACAAAAGTGACTAGCAAATAATTAATTATAATAGTTTTAATTGAAGTACGAGCCGAAACTTACCGTTATGTTGTGTTTGTGGTATGTCTAGCAGCCACATGGTGTTCCTGTCCTGTCCACAAACCTGCTGTTTAGCAAGGCATTCGTCAACGCTTGTGCTATCTGGAATAGAAAATTGAATTTATTAAATGATGTCTGGTGTACTCTAATCAATTAATTACAAAAACAAATGAATAGACCAAGCTGTATATTTTGCCTTGTACAGAGTGACGAGTTCATGTGGAGAAAAGTACTTCTTAGCCCTAAATAAATAGCCCAGCTTTTTCCCAGCAGCTGCCGGTATTCCAGATCAAGTTTTCTATGATTCCGACCAGCCGAAATGAAAGTTAATGCTTGACTACTTGATACTTCATGGCAAATTATATTTTTGTTCTACTAAAGGGCTTCAGTGATATTTATTTGTACAACCGGTGAACCGAACTTTTTATTTTGATGCAAATAAGCACGAGTGAAGGAAAAGGCATGAACATATATTCCCAATTATTTTTTCTATTTGAACTTACAGTTTTATGGTTCTTTTATTTTGTTCAATATGTGTTGTTTTCTTTGTAACGTGTCACATTATATTCTACTTGTATTTATATTACAAAGTTTATCAGTTAATATCCAGACTATTTGAATTTTCCAGTACGTGACGTAAAAATTACTAGACTTTTTTTCAAGCTTCTTGATTCGAAAAGATATTACCAATGTACATATCAAGTCAAATAGTGAAGCCCTAAGACTTTGTTTGTTGTAGCTCTCCAGGAAGCAGTTTATAACACCCAGGATCCAGAAAGCTATACGATCTCTGTGGAACTTTTTCTCAAGATTTGGGACATGTACAATATTTTTGTTCCGTATAAGGATTTACGAGTATATGCCATAATGCGGGGCATCCTTAAAACTGTATAAAATCAGGCTTTCAAATCTATGAAAAGACACTGACATGGTTAATCATTTTCAAAAACATCAGATAATTTGATAATCTAACATCATTTAAACAGTGTCGCATGGAATGATTGATGCTAAATCGATAACTAGGAACAAAAAACTCGGAAAGTCGGAAGTCTCCACCGCATTTGTCGATGGGGAAAGCAGATCTATTTCTATGGTAAATAATTTTCGTTGGTGTACCGCAGACCAAGTCGCTTGGACTTAGGCGTCGACGAAGAATGACTAATCAAAAAGAAAAATGCTGATTCGTGTGCGGTAATTAAAACTAATTGCCTGTTTTCCGGTTCCAATTAGAATTTCTTCACGTTCCCAGGATCCTATACAGTCGTAAAATTAGGAAAGGCTTGTCGAAAACCGACAACCAACAACGCGCATATGTAATTTGATTTTGGGGAATACATGATTCGGATGTGTTTTTTATACTTGACTGTGACACAATGGTCAACAGTGACGTAGTCACAAAAATAACGCCAAGCAGTTTGGCTCCGAAATTCTCGTTTCGTGGTATTACTTTGAAAAATGAGAAATATATTTCAAATGCACAACTAACTAATTATTTTAAAGATGTTAAACCTACTGTAAATTCTTCCAAAACTTCCAGTATCCTGTATATTACTAAAAAATCAAAAGTTTTAAAACCCAAATGAACGAAAAATCTATTTGATGTCACTTACTAAAACACTGATTTTGGGACTGTCAACTGGAATCAGATAGGTTCCAAGAAAGCAGTCAATCCTTGTAAACGCAAATCTAGTTTTTAACCTTTAAGCGAGCATTTTCCATTTTGCTGCGATACTGCTACATGGTGGAGCAGAAATGACCTATCAATATCAAGACTAACCTTGTAGAAGTTAAATGCCAGAATTACTGGTCTAAATTCTTAAAAACGGTGTTTTTTGACGTAACCTATAGTACCTTCAAGATAATATGTCTATTCTATAATAAAGAACTTTGACAGGTAGACGGCGTGGGATGGTTTACAGATTTGACTTGGGAAAGGAATGGAGAAAGATATAACCAAGTACCGTTTTAACTCTCAAGTGCTATTTTTCATATATTATGAGCTATAAATAAGTTGAGGTAATGGTTGATTTTCGAAATTGGAGCTTGAAAAATGATAAAAAATCATGAATGTTTTGAAATCACCATGTTTTGACTATTCAAAAATGGCTATGGAAATAAGAAAGCATATTTTTTATACTATGAATTTTAAATACTAATCGTATAATTATTCTGTCAAAAAGAGATTTCTACCGGAAAGTACTCGAAAAGGCAAACAAAAATTTAAAGAATCATAGAATAAAGTTGCAATCGACAGATAAAAATTTAACTCCAGAACAAACTTTCTGATGAAATACATAAAATCAGTTTTGCAGATGGTATTTGCTTTTACTTCCATTTCGGACATAGGTAATCAATCAATGACAATGTCGGTCTGACGATGTTTTTTCAATAAAACTGAAACGAGCCACAAGATCTTCAATATTTTATTCTGACATGTGTACAACAATATAATAGCTTTTTCTCAACAACATATCCTTTAAACCTGGTTACACAGTCGGATAAAGAAATTCATGGTTTTTCTGGGAAGCGTTTGTAAATCACTTGGTAAGGTAATACCGTACACAGAAATGGAATGTAGATTGACAGATGAAAATATCAACTGGAATACTGTGAAAGTTTGTTTTCAGGATGCCTAAATTTTTACAGAGTCATGTGATGACACTTGATGACAGGCGACTAATGCCTAACCAGGTTTTCTGCGACCATTATATTTATTATATTATATACGTATTCTGCCAATTTTGAGCACTTTTTGGTAATCAAATAAAGAAAAGAAAAATTATTTGGCTGCAACCTTTATAGACATAACCGGTGCCTACGATCACATCGACCTACACAGCGTAAGATATAAAATGAAAAAGTATGGTATTCCTACTCGTACAAGCTATGTGATAGCTAATTTATACTCCAATAGTATATGTGAGAGGCCATAATAATCAATGTCTCGGTCGTAGAGTCTCATTCACAGGCCTTCCCCAGGGTGCAGTCCTCAGCCCTGTCATTTTATTTTTTTATCCGTCATCCAGACAGGGTTAATGGTTATAAATTATAGTGTTACCTATATAAGTTTTAGCGTTTTTCCTCTGTCATTTCGATGTATGTATGTTCATCCTTCTTACCGGGCGAGAATAATGTGTGACCTTGTCGAATACCTCAAATTTCCTATTCTCCTGTCATACTAGATTAGTTTTCCTCGTGATGCTTTCTCTACGAAAAAGGTTTTGATCATAATATTCTTATTATATGGTATATAACTTGTTTCTGGTTGATGGGTTATAGCCCAGTGTCATTGTTAAAAAAAATACAGAAAACAGACAATAATCAAATCCAAGCGAATAACCAAAATTTCTGTGTTATGTGCCGCGGTTATAATATGGTTCAAGATGACACACGGGTTGATGACGTCAGTTACACGAATCGCTTGAACGCGTTGGTTTTAACCGCGGTTTTGTTGCAAGTTGTTTATTTTAGAAAAGCGCGTATATCTCTCTGATTATTTTTATTATCACTTAATAATCGGGGCTTTTTCGTCTACAACTGTGTATGGAAGGATTAAATAAGAAACCTTTCATAATATTCATGGGAGATTTTTTTTTTAATGATGGAACCATGGCTTTGTAGCTATGATAACTTTCAATTCTCTAAATTTTTCCGCATGTCAAAGAAAACATTTATTGATTCAGCAGAAATGAGGAAAAAAGAAATTAGCAAAACCGTATACAGGTGGATATCATCTAGTGACTTTATATGGCCATATTTTAATATTCTTGTGGTATATGGCTACACAGGATACTTTGTTAAGCATAGGAACTACATTTAAAGTGTCCCCAACAACCGTAATGAGTATAACTAATAAGGTGCTCCACTTTATGGTAAAACTGAAGTCAGCCTGTATCATTTTTCTCAAAAATGAAGCTGAAGTGCAATAACAATATCCAATACCCGGAAAAATTCTAACTTGTCACATTTCAAATAATAACCAGAAATATAAAACTACTCTTGAGTTGGGTAAATACCACAATTTTGCGGTGATAACTATGACATATAACAGCTGATTCGTGACGTCACGGATCTTATAACCAAACTGATAACTACACTCGCTTGAACGGATCGGTAAATACCAACCCAAAATGGTAAATACCATTTCCATTTGGTTATCCGCTTGAATTTGATTATAAAACCCCAAGAATGACAAGTTACAACATCCTTATTTCCAAGGTTTTGAACAAAAGAAGAAAGGCGCACTTCTGACGTGCCAGAAGGATTTACTTTTTCGAACGCATGGAAAAGGTACATCAAACAATTACGAACGCTAAAATTATTACAGACCCCCTCCCGTTTGATCCATGACTTTTGGGACACGTTGCTCAACAAGGTTCATATCCGAAGACAAGCAAAATATTGAGTTCCTGAAATTATTATGGCACACTTATTCATGGACATGGTTGAATCATCAGCAGAACGGTTGGCGTTTGTAACGGTTCCGATTTACCATCCGGCCGTTGCTGTCAACAGGAAATCGGAAGTAGATCAAGCCGACTTGATTTCGCCTACCGCTGATCTGTCAGTATGTCGCCAATTTCACCATGGTCCAGTGAACATATGCGAAAAAATTGAAACAGTTTTAAGAATTTACTCATATTGTACAGGGTGTTTCAGTTTATTGTTGCATAACTAAGTCTATATAACCATGGGTCGAAAAATGCGTGGCTTCCGAAATACAGGGTGTTTAAATTTACTTTCTAAAATAGTTTTTTTTAAATATTTCGAACAATATTTGATGTATAACAGTGAAAATTGGTATACAAGGGTTTTTTGGTACGACAAAACGAACCATGGCCATAGTTTTACTGTAGCCGCTAGAGGGCGCTCTCTACTGTACCTGTAGTGTATTAAAATGACCGAAAAAATTTTCTTAGTGCAATTTTTTGCTTTTTGAATAAAAAAACTGATTTTTCGCACTTTTCAACATAAAAAAGCTCCTGTGAGTTTTCGTTATAGTTAGCCGTTTTTGAGATATTTCGATTTTTAAGGTTCGATGCATTTTTAATTATTTATGGGAAAATAATATTTTTTTTACATTTTCGATTTGGGCATTACAA